ATTTGAAAGAAGTATTATCTTGCAATGATTTGGATAAGAAAATTGTGGCATTTTGTGCAGACAATACAAACTGCAATTTCGGAGGAAGGAATAGAAAAGGGATAAATAATGTTTACGCGAAATTGAACCTATCCGTCGGAAGGCAGCTCATTGGAATTGGGTGTGGAGCCCATATAATTCATAATGCTATCAAAACAGCCGCAGATTGTCTCCCTGTTGACTTCGAATGCATCATTGTGAAAATTTATTCATTCTTCTACATTTACAGCATTCGGGTAGAAGTTCTGAAAGAGTTCTGTGATTCCACTGACACAGAGTATCAGAAACTGTTGGGCTACAGTAAAACAAGGTGGCTTGCTTTAATGCCGGCGCTGGAGAGAATTTTAAAAATGTTTCAGCCTTTGAAAACCTATTTTCTGAGCATAGATAAATGCCCTACTATTTTAAAAACGTTTTTCGAAAATCCCAGCTCTGAATTGTGGTTATATTTTTTGCACGCACAGACAGGGATTTTTCATCAAGCCGTGTTGAAAATCGAGGGACAAAACGTGTCCACAATAGAGCCTGCTAATGAAATTAATCGTCTCCGAGATAACTTAGAACTTAAAGAGAATTCGATTTTCCTTCCTCATTCCGTCCGCAATCTACTGGTAAAATTACAAAAAACTGACGTTGCTGTTGATGAGCAGAATGTGAAAACTGCGGCAGCGGATTTTTATAAGACAAGTAAAGAATACTTGGAACAGTGGTGCCAGTTCAATGCACAACTAGCAGTATTTGAATGGTCAAATTTGAGAAAAGTCCCTACAGAATGTGACGGATTTGCTGATCACACGCAGATTTCTTAGCAGTAGCCAAGATACGGAGATGTTCGATGAGTTTTCGCTTATTTCCAGTTACGTCACAGTTGAAAAAATCAAAAGCTGGAACGATGAGAATGTTGCTACTGAAGACCGTTGGGTGGAGCTGTTTAAACACTTCCGTGCTAATAATCTCAACTGCACAAACTTTCGCACAATTATTGAGTATGTTTTATGTATGCCTGGAAGTAACGCTCCTGACGAAAGAGTTTTTTCCCTAATGAATAAAATATGGACAAGTGAAAAAACGCAGTTAAGTGTGACAGTTTTAAAAGCTATTTTAATTACTAAGACTAACATCAACAAACAATGTAATCAGCTCCATTCCTACTTGAAAACTAGACCCGATATTTTAAAACTTATTTGCTCTGCTGACAAATATAAAACAAATACTTAGACATAAGATTAATTTCATAAATTAGATTTATACGTATTCTCTCCGTTTTTTGAATAAAATTTGTTTTTAAATGCATAATTTTTTTTTACAAAATTCCGCAGGCGTCCCGCTCTGACGAAAAATATAAATGGTCACATTACCTATGACAGAGAATTGTCTGTGCAGGTTCACTTCTTCGTATAGCCCCACTATAACGGTACCTCCCTATAGTCGGAATTTTCCTGATTTTAGCGACATTATTTACCGCAAATATTTAAAACTATTTGATGTTCCCAGTGATGATTGTAGCTACATTATAAACAGATTTTTTTTAAGTTTCGCATTTGAATATTGTGAAAGCTACTGACAAAAGTTGCCTATGCAGGTCCACGTCGCCGTACAGACCCTAACATACGGCTACAGTCGGTATTTTTCAGATTTTAACAGACTTTTTAATGGATTTTATTTATATAGCCCCAATGTAAAGGTACCTCCCTATATTCGGAATTTTGATGATTTTAGCGACATTATTCACCGGATTTCTTTCATATTCGGTATTTGATGTTCGCATTGGATGCTATAGCCTACGACAGGAGATTGTCTGTGCAGGTCCTCGTCTTCATGTAACGGTACCTCCATATATTCGGAATTTTGATGATTTTAGCTACATTATTCAACCAATAGTTTTAAGTTTCGCATTTGAATATTGTAATGGCTTACAACAAAAGTTACCTATGCAGGTCCACGTCGTCGTATAGACCCTAATATTACAGCTACATCCGGTATTTTCAAGATTTTTATTGGACTTTTTTTTAACAGATTTCATTGTTTTTGAGAATTGCCAAATCGATGGTGAAGCTTTACAGCTTTTTACTTGTTATTATACCATACCATTTACTTGTTATTATACCATACCATAGTATGGAGGGAATATTAAGTTTATCATTCCGTTTGTAACACCTCGCAATATACATTTCATACGCCACAAAGTATTGATATTCCAGATCAGCATAAAATTCTATATCGATTTAGCGATGTCCGTCTGTCTATCCGTCTGTGGAGCTCACTCTAGGTTCCGAACGAATTGAAGTAAATTAATAAAATTTTACTCAAATATTTTTTCTCAAAATACTTTTAGAGTTGTGTGTTATCAACGTACAAATGAAAAAAATCGTACATATAGAATAATAGCGATTAATACGTGATGTTAAGTTAATTTTTTCCCTTTGTAAATCATCGACATAGTAATTGTTGCCTAGGGTAATATCGAATATAGTAAACAATTTTACCAGAATAAAAATAAATAAAAGTGTAGTTCAGTTTTATTAAGTACAAAAAATTATAGGTTTGGATTTTACTTTAACCCTCATCAGAATAATTGTCAAGCTGTAGAATAGCTTCATGCAAAAACTGTGAATTCAAATTCACCAAAAATGTATTTTGGAGCGTATCTTCGAAAATGCACGTTCCACTGAAGTTACTTTTTTAATGCAGCTTAACCGTAGCGTAGATTATCACCAAATAATATCATCAAATAAAGCAAAACATAAATTTTAATTATCGTAATTACTCTTATGGAAAAATACAATTTATATGCTAAGGGTACCTGAGTTGGTGATACAGCGAAACACACGTTATACACGAGTACAATTCAGGATCAATGTGTTTTCTTTCCTGCCAGTACCGTAAAACGTTTGCATTTTTCACATATGGCAGATTTAATTTTTCAAACTTTCCTAATACATCATTATTTTGAGTGTGGTTTTTATTGAACTCATTGTCCAAAAAAGCAGTTAAAAGATCCTCAACGCTGTTGGTTTCTTGTACAGTGGATGACGAGTTTGTGGCAACCGAACTTTTATCGATGTTACATATTGCTGTAAGTTTACCCCAGAGAGTTTTTAGTTGCTTACCTAAAAACTCTCTGGCGATTGTTTTGTATGTATCACGAAGCATATGATGGACCCGTGGATCAAGATATAGGCACGGTGTCGTAGGGCGCCAAAAATGAAAAATATCAGTATACTAGTTTTTAAAAAAGGTTAATGGCATTGTAAAAACAACAATTCATTTATGCTTAATCAAAAAGAATTTAAAAAAAATTATATTTTCAAAAGTTATGAGTATATAAATATATTAGGTGTAGTAAATAAAAAATCAATACATACAAATTATTAAAATTACGCAAATTAAATTCGGTAAGTGCTGCCCAGCGAGAAGTAAAAGTTAGGGCTACAACTTATTGAGCAGAAGATAAAAATTTCAATGAATGTTACTAAAAATAAAAACCAACTGGCAAGTGTCACTGCATGAGAGAGCGGTTTGAAGAAAAGTTTGGATAGTGGCTTAATTCACCTTTTGTTATAAGTGATGAGTGTTTATCTTCTGTAAGTACATTATGTGGAACATAATTTCTGATTCCAAATGATTATGTCGTTTTAGGAACCTTGCACCAGCCGTAGAGGAAGACCTTCGACAGACTTTGATAATTGCTCTGATCGCACCAAAAGGCGTAAAGTGGGTAAACTTGATTCAAATACAAATCCAAACTTACTGCAAAAGGCTGTAAAAAGAATTTTCGACCCAGCGTCTCAAACATCTATACCGGTAGATAACGCTTTGACACCTTTTTAGATATGGATTTGTCTTCCAGGCAATACCAACTTATATAATAAAAGCAGATAACTGGGAATTTGAAAAATATATACTTATTTATAATGTATATAGAAATGATTTTCTTAATTGGTGTCAGGGTAATATGTTTTATAACATAATAAAACGAAATTAAATACTAATCAAAATACATCAGAGAAAATCAAGATTAATTTGGATTAATTCTAACAACAATTTGTGAAAATATAATTTTTTTCATTTCAGGATATATGGAAGGTGGATGTGTCCTTTGATGTAATTTCATATAACTCACCACAGTTATCAGTAATATATCAGAGACAAATCGACCCAAATTAGGTTCAATTCCAACAACAACTTTGGAAAATATAATTTTTTTTCGTTTGTTTTCTCTTTCGAGACGAGCTTAATGATCTTAAATTTGCAGTGAAAAGGAAAGCTAGGTAGACACTATCACACACTCACCACTATGCGACGCGTTTCGCCGTTGGTTAAGCGGCTCATCAGGCATATTTGTTGTGGATGATGGCTTACAAGGGCCGTTCTCTTTAAAGTAGTATATATTTCGAACTTATTGCAAATAAGCATATGTGAATTATACACTAGAAACTCTCCAAGTTCGACTCATGTAATATTGGCAGATCTTTTTCACAGCAAAGTTTTTGTTTCTTTTTCACTGCAAATTTCAGATCATTAAGCTCGTCACGAATGAGAAAATAAACACATAAATCATAAAACGAATGATCTTCGCCTTAACAAGTCAAAACTCATAAGTTTTTTTTCATTCCAGTATATATGGGAGGTAATGGAGTCCTTCGGCCGATTTTTGCAAAACTTCGTTTTCTCTTTCCTACTTGTATTAGTTATGTGTACCAATTTTCATTCTTCTACGATAACTCCTTATATTTTTGGCCGCCGTTTATATGAAAACACGACACTGTGCGCTGCTAATGTAGGGTTTTCTAATAGAGTAGCATTTCTAAAAGTAATGCTTTCTAGCAATAAGGAGTTTATACTCGTCATTATAATCTCCTTCAACACACAAATGAGATTGATTTGATCATGTTTCATCCATTGTCAGTTGTGAATGTACAATTTGTTGCGAGTTTTTATTATATTTATTTAAAACAGACTAAATTTTTAGAAGTACTTGAGTGTACTCTTTTCAGTTCAACCATTCCAAGTATTCTAGTTTCAATTTTGTCATTTTCTACAAATTGTGCAAAAAAATATTTCTAAACAATCTTGTGGCACTGCCAATTTTTAAAAAGATTAATTTGTTTGCACATTCTCTGCATATTTCTGACAAAGTCTGTTTGCACTTTTCGGTATTTAGAGAAAATTTTTTCCCATTCTCATTCTCAATTCCTTTGCAGATAGGATCTATTATGTTCCGCATGTGCTGCGATTGTGCTGTGCTTCATCGGTCACTAAACCTATGTACGATTTAAACAGCTGTTTTTTGCTGTAAGGGGTGTACTTGCCTTGTTTTTGTTTCCTCCGCATATATTCTCTCTGATTCCTGACGGTAATTATAGGAAACTGACAGCGCCACCTTCATGTGATAATCCAATAAGATCGACGTTATTGAGTTCGGCATCATCATTATCATCTTATTATTTGGCTTGTTAATTTATTCTCTCCGTGCCATATTGTACAATGGTGAGTTTATTATATTGATTGATTTGAAATAATAGGAAATTATGAGAATTCGTCTTTTTATTACTTTTATTGAATTTGGCACCCACCACTGAGAAATTCAGAGCAGAGTCATAAAAAACTGGTCTTTTTCCTTCCTATTATATGTTATTTCCTTGTATGTTCGCATCAAGCTGACAGCCCTAAAAATTTACACCAAAGAGGCCACGTGTAACAGAGTAGCTCCTCCAGAAAAAAAAAAACAAATTACCGGCAAATAAAAACAAACTGGGGATTTAAACTGGTTTTGTTAACAATTTCAATCCGGAGTTATTAGAAACATAAGCTCGACTCAAAAGCTTGATCAAAATCTAGCAAAGTTGGTGATGTTGGACAAGGTTGCTTATCAAATATTGCTTAATGTGCCAAAGTAAACTATAGAAGATTGGACAACATCTGAAAATCGTCTCAGCTATAAAAAACCTTGCTTAAATTACCGAATCTTTGCTGAAAAAATAGTTCGAACGCGTCAACCAGCAACAGTGTGTTCAATTTCACGTAAAAAGTGTTAATTATTCGTTTTTCTAGTCCAACACAAATTGGCATGTTTTTTGCAAACCAGTAAAGAATTCATCAATTGTGACTAAATTTTGCGTAATTTAAGATTAGTCGCCGAGTGAAAAATATCTAATCTTAACTTTTGCACTAGCCCTAAGAAGAAAAAGTTCCAAACTAATTTCGTATTTTCCTGTAACACTATAGTGCTATTATTAGTCCTTCTACCCTAATATTAAATCTAAAAAAGATAAAATTTCATTAAAGCAGGGGTGAACTTTTAAGCAAGGGTGTACATTTTTTTTCTTTTCGATATACCCATTTATACTTTACCAAGCTACCAACAGACCTTAGGAACAAACAATTGCACATAAATCTTACTAACATTATGTATGTAAGAATCTTACATTCATGTTCTTGGTAACCTTTCTGCATTGTGCGTGCCGATCAGCCTCGGTTAAAAGTGTAGTGTGTACCAAGAGAGAATTATGTTATCATTAATACTGGTTGCTTTACAGATGTCATGCTGCCCTATGTTGTACTCGAATCAAAGAACAATTATAATTACGCTCTTTTAACAGTCATCTTTACGTCAGCTGCTTAAAGCGCCCACCGAAAGATCTTTTGCCGTTGGAGCTCTGAATAATTAGCAAGTAATACGTGAGTACTATACCTATGTTATTATCTTATATGTATGTTTTTTTTTCCTTCGACATCAGTATCGCAGTAAATCTGAAGCAAACTTACAATAACGTTTGTAATATCATTTTACGATTTTTTCTCTTGTGCTTAAGTTTACCTTACTTTTTTTGTTCCCCCTCCTTTCGTTATAATTGTTGTTCATGATAAATCGCTTATAGCAATGAATTAGTTAAATGTACTTTAAGATTATAATAGGTTAAGAAAAATGAACTTGTTTAATTCTGAGCCAATATATAAGGATGTAAAAACTATATAAATACTGAATAACTAATGGATCTGGTTTAAATTTGAATCGCCTGTTTGGTTTCCTGATATCTTAGGTAGTAAGGTCACTTTCTAATATGGGGTCATGTTGTTTTTATTTTAATTGTTGGTGTTGTAAACAATGACCAGGATAGGAGGGCAAATGGACGTACTACCACCTTAACGTTCAGTAAAATTAAATGAATCAATTAACTGTTCCTGTCTTGTCCGACGAGTTAGTAGGTACCATATACGTACGCTAGCTGTCTAAAAATGACATTGCATCCATATTATACGTTTTTTTCTTGGTTTGAAAGTTGTTGGCACTGTTTTGGAGTTCGCAGAAAATATTACTTTATGAACTTTTTCCAAATGAATCTAAAGATTATAATTTTTACTGCATTTATAAGTTTTTTACACAACTTGCAAAGTGTCCTGTCACCATCTTTTATAAAATATTTATTAACGTCAAACAAATTTTCTTTAGACATTTTAATTTATTTTTCCTCAACAATATGTGTACTCTCCCGAATTATGTTTTCTCTACCTTACTCACTCTTCCATTTGTCATTCCGTTTTGTTATTATTTTACAAATTTATTTTTTGAGGTTGTTAGCCAATCGAGATTTATTTTAAAATCTAGATTTTTTCTAATATTGTTGAATAACTTTACCTAACATTGATGTAAATCTTAATTCAAAGGCGTTAACAATTTTTGCTAATTGTCTATATAAGAAATATTAAATAGCATTATTATCGCATTTCATTCGATGTGAAATTTTAATAAGCAACAATGAACTCAAAAATGAATATTTGTTTTTGTTGGCTAAAAGCAGAAGTCGTGTTGCTTTTTTGGTGCTGAGGTGTTTTGATGCTAGGGCTAATTTCATTTTAGCTTCAGCCGCTCACTGTTTCCTTTGCTGATGATTTTAAGTAGCATTAGCTCTTTCGGCTAAATTTGTTTGTACTGTGTTGCTATTTGTTGGCATAGCTCATTGATAGGCTACATTTTTTTTATGATTTTTTAGCAGGCAAGGCTGGACATTTTCGGTGCTATTGCTAATTTGACGTTAGCAATTTAAACCCTGTTCCGCACTATATTTGGCTACTCAGGTGTCAAGAACCTGTGGGAATATTAAATGTGCTGAGTAGCACACGCATATAGCGTTTAGTTACCTGACAAAACCCAAAACTGTGGGAACAATGAAATAAGCGTGTTTCTTCACGATAACTCCTCCCCTTCTAAGTTACGGCCGTCCACGGTCCCAGCGTTAGCGTTTTTTATTGCAACCTCTATAGATTTAGTTATAAGATTTTTTTTCCTTAGCGGAGGCCTGCGTCTTAGTGAGTAAGCAAGATTTCCAATAGTCGATAAACTTGCGATATGACCTTGATAGACCACATGTTGTCGGTGATGGATATGTTGGAGATTTTGTTTGTTGACATAATGGAGATGGGACGACCTTAGTATATCGGTGTGTTGCGTTAGGGTAATCACAGAAGCCTATGGAATATCCTGTTGTAGGGGTGACGTTAAATTTTCGTTGTAGTACATCGTATTATTGATTCTAACGATATCATTGAAGACAACTAGGTAAGTACCATTGACTGTAATAGGGGGTTCGTTGTTTTCTTCTACAACAACCAGTTGGTCATTGATGACCACAAAACCATCGCCTATCGCTGTAATTGGTAGGAGGTTGTTGAATGTTGTGCTGCAGTTAGCGGTGTTATGTGTCATTAGTTCCAGAGCGCATGATGTGAGTGATGATGACAGACAAAATGTTGGTATCGTATCGGTGCAGTTTCCTACTGCTGAGGTGTAATTGTGACATGCAGCTAGAGTGGATTCTTGCAAGTGGAACATGAGGTGACCTTTTGCTAATGGCAATATAATAATTTTCTTACATTTGCACTTAGCTATAGGATATCTTATCAGGAAATATATTACATTATTGTGTTGCATAATCTTGATTTTAGATACAGCCATAATATCGGAGAGGTTTGCGAAGTGCTGGTTTTATATTGTGATATTGATTTCATTGCTATCTAAAAGGATAGGGTTCAAAACTCCAATTTTTGCGAATGTAATGGAGGTTACTAAGTTATTTAGCTAAGAGGATATCATAAAGATTTCCTGTATTAACTTCCCTTTGTTTTCTGCCTAAAATTTTGTTTACTGTAGTGGTGAGGCTATTAATTGCTTTCTGTCCTTCGGTGTTGATAGTAAACTGTCTCTCCTGTGAGTTGATTAGTTGGTCAACTGTGTTGGTCAGTTTGTCGAAGTCATCATGATCAGGTGTTCGATTCATGTATTTCAGGACTATTCCTAATGCAAGAATCTATCAGTCTATTTATTAGATTTACGTCCGCATCCAGCAAATTTCTCATATAAGTTTGGGGAAAGTGGTTTGTAGAATTAGCTGTCTCGTCTCTTAGTAATTCGTATAACGTTAAGTTATGTGTCCAAAGTTTTCCCAAATTACGAGATCCTACCGGTTACTGGAATGTGTCCCGCATTAGAGTAGTCCATTAACCGTCCATTTGATGCCGACACTAATATGGCTATGACCAATCTTATCGCAATCCTAGAAATGTAAACAATATTTCCTCACTACTCACTCGCCGTTGGAGCTCTGAATAATTTGCAAGTAATACGTGAGTACTATACCTCTCTTTTTATCTTATATGTATGTTTGTTTTTTTCCTTCGACATCAGTATCGCAGTAAATCTGAAACAAATACTTACAATAACGTTTGTAATATCATTTTACGGTTTGTGTCTCTTGTGCTTAAGTTTACCTTACTTTTTTTGTTCCCCCCTCCTTTCGTTATAATTTTTGTTCATGATAAATCGCTTATAGCAATGAATCAGTTAAATGTACTTTGAGATTATAATAGGTAAAGAAAATTAACTTGTTTAATTCTGAGCCAATATATAAGGATGTGAAAACTATATAAATACTGAATAAACTAATGGATCTGGTTTAAAATTGAATCGCCTGTTTGGTTTCCTGATATCTTAGGTAGTAAGGTCACTTTCAAATATGGGTTCATGTTGTTTTTATTTTTATTGTTGGTGTTGTAAATAATGACCAAGATGGGAGGACAAATGGACGTACTACCACCTTAGCGTTCAGTAAAATTAAATGAATCAATTAACAGTTCCTGTCCTGTACCTTTATAGCACGTATAAATAAATCAACTTAATGTAGCAATCAAATAGCTAGTTAGTCCTTGAACCTACCCCCCCCCCCGACGAGTTAGTAGGTACCATATACGTACGCTAGCTGTCTAAAAATGACATTGCATCCATATTATACGTTTTTTTTTGGTTTGAAAGTTGTTGGCACTGTTTTGGAGTTCTCAGAAAATATTACTTTATGAACTTTTTCCAAATGAATCTTAAGATTATGATTTTTACTGCATTTATGTTAGTTATGTGTACCAACTTTCATTCTTCTACGATAACTCCTTATATTTTTGGCCGCCGTTTATATGAAAACACGACACTGTGCGCTGCTAATGTAGGGTTTTCTAATAGAGTAGCATTTCTAAAAGTAATGCTTTCTAGCAATAAGGAGTTTATACTCGTCGTTATAATCTCCTTCAACACACAAATGAGATTGATTTGATCATGTTTCGTCCATTGTCAGTTGTAAATGATACAATTTGTTGCGAGTTTTTATTATATTTATTTAAAACCTTGCAAAGTGTCCTGTCGCCATCTTTTGTAAAATATTTATTAACGTCAAACAAATTTTCTTTAGACATTTTAATTTATTTTTCCTCAACAATATGTGTACTCTCCCGAATTATGTTTTCTCTACCTAACTCACTCTTCCATTTGTCATTCCGTTTTGTTTTTATTTTACAAATTTATTTTTTGAGGTTGTTAGCCAATCGAGATTTATTTTAAAATCCAGATTTTTTCTAATATTGTTGAATAATTTTACCTAACATTGATGTAAATCTTAATTCAAAGGCGTTAACAATTTTTGCTAATTGTCTATATATGAAACCATCAAATATTAAATAGCGTTATTATCGCATTTCATTCGATGTGAAATTTTAATAAGCAACAATGAACTCAAAAATGAATATTTGTTTTTGTTGGCTAAAAGCAGCAGTCGTGTTGATTTTTGGTGCTGAGGTATTTTGATGCTAGGGCTAATTTCATTTTAGCTTCAGCCGCTCACTGTTTCGTTTGCTGATGATTTCAAGTAGCATTAGCTCTTTCTGCTAAATTTGTTTGTACTGTGTTGCTATTTGTTGGCGTAGCTCATTGATACGCTACATTTTTTTATGATTTTTTAGCAGGCAAGGCTGGAAGTTTTCGGTGCTATTGCTAATTTGACGTTAGCAATTTAAACCCTGTTCTGCACTATATTTGGCTACTCTGGTGTCAAGAACCTGTGGGAATATTAAATGTGCTGAGTAGCACACGCGTATAGCGTTTAGTTGCCTGACAAAACCCAAAACTGTGGGAACAATGAAATAAGCGTGTTTCTTCACGATAACTCCTCCCCTTCTAAGTTATGGCCGTCCACGGTCCCAGCGTTAGCGTTTTTTATTGCAACCTCTATAGATTTAGTTATAGGATTTTTTTTCCTTAGCGGAGGCCTGCGTCTTAGTGAGTAAGCAAGATTTCCAATAGTCGATAAACTTGCGATATGACCTTGATAGACCACATGGTTGATAGACACGGTGATGGA